CATTTCAGCTAATATTTATGTAATTATCACTGGTTCATTAAATTTTGTGTGTAATTATTAGGACGAATTTGACTTCATGATTGATGAATAGAATATTAATGGAAGAAACTTACGATAATATACCTAGAGTATAAGCAGAGTGAGAGCAATTCGCTAGTTTTTACAAAAAGAACAATATAACAGATTTTGATAATTCGTAAATCTTCCCAAGTTTATTTATAAATCATAAATGTATCTTATTTTACTATGGCTTTTTACGTTTTTGGCTCCTTGACACAATTTATTTGGCTCCCAAAGAAATTTAATTTAAAGGAAGAGAACGTAATCATTTTTGATCTCTTTAAGTTTTTTGGTATACACTGTGATGAGTTTAAATGTATAAAATGTTGAAAGATTCAAATAAAATGTTGCTAGCTTTTTATAAGTCACTGGTTGACTTTAGGATATAATTGTGACAATTTTAGTGGCTTAAAAATAGATTTAAAATTTTTGTAAGGTGTACTGGCAATTTATGTCACTGATGTTGCATTTTATGACAGAGACAACTAGTTCAAATTCTGTAGGAAAACGAAATTAGTATAAATATTGATGCGACGTTTTGTTATTATGAAGATAGTAATCCAAACTACTCGTAGTATGATAAATGTGTCTTTTGAATACTATTTATTTCCATCGTGATAATTATTTCAGTAAAGGTAAAGGGGAAAAGCATGAGGCAACCTGTATGTCTCAAAAAACCTATCAAGTTTTCGAAATATGAAATGTGAGATTCAAATGTGAAATTCAAAGTAGATGAAACGCACGCCATTGGTTAGACCGAATATGACGTCAGAGTATATCATAACAGAGCGATTGGCGATTTTCCCGCAACTGTATGATACGAAACTGCTGTGTATGATATACTTTGACGTCATGCCAAGAGCGCGAAATAAATAAATATGTCGTGACATTAACACACAGCACCATCTAGTTCCATGGTAAGCTACGAGGCTTGTGTTATGGATACCAGATAGTTGATACACTACACATATTTATAATTTTAAATACATATATATTATAAATATAAACACCCATGTCTAGAGTACAAACATTCGTGCTCATCACACAAATGAATGCCCCCAGCGGGACTCGAACCCGCGACCGCTGTCACAGCAAGTATGGGTACAAGCCAAGCGTATCGTCAATGGTCATCCTTTAATGTATTCGATCGGTATGATATTTTTTTTAATACTAAATTTTAGTTTTTGGAGCTCAATATTCTTTTTACAATTATATAACGGTGTAAGCTATTGTATATTTTTTTTTAAATCACGCACATTCCCTATTATAATAATATAACTAAGGCCCGTGCCCTGCAGTGGGACTTTAAAGGTGCTGAATGAGAATATTATGAGATCTTCATTCTGAATGTTTTACAAAAAAAAAATGGAATATATCTTAAAAGGTTCTATTTCAATTTATTTATAATAAACAAGATTTTTAAGCTTTAGTATAAAAAATGTTCTTTGTATAAGACCTTGGATGGTAGATACTGTATGAATTTCAGGGAAAAAAAAAACGAATTTTAATTTTAAAGGTGAAATAACTACACCTTAAGTGATTATAAGTAAACGGTTAATTTAAAAAAAATACTGCAATATCTTCTATTTAAATAAACCATTTAACTGATAAATTTAAACTATGCATTGGTATTGCTGCTTGAAATATAAGTTACTTACCTACTACAGGCCTTATTTTACTTTGTTAGCTTATTACATTATTAAATTTAGACGATATTATAAATTATATTTCAGCAGAAAGGTATAGGTCTATTAATATTACTCTGAGAGATAAAATAACAAAGCCTTGAATAATTAAGTACACTGAGCACTCACATAATTTTAAAGGCAATAAATATTTTATTACAAACCTAGCGACTCACCCTCGTTTCGCTCGGGTTCGTCCCTAGGTAAGTTCTAACGGTTAGTATAGAATATATTATATATGTACAATGTATTTTATGTATGTTTGTGGTATAAAAATGTTGATGAGTATTTTGAAACATAAAAAATAATATCCCTTATTTGAGAAATGACTGATTCCTTATTCAAACTGCCACTCCCCTTTCCCCCCTACTTTTCAGCACTTAAGAGATATTTTCCGGGATAAAAAGTATCCTATGTCCTTTTCAGGGTCTCAAACTACCTCCATACCAAATTTAATCTAAATCAGTCCAACGGATTAAACGGTGAGAGACAGAGTTACTTTCTCATTTAATATTAGTATGGATGTATAAAATAAATCAAGGCAGTGGTTAGCCCAGTGGTAACGCGCTCGCTTGGGAAACCGAGTGAAGCGGGTTCCAATCCCGGGTCTCACACCTCTCATATTTTCATGTGCGAATCATTTCCAATATGATTACCACTTGTCTTAACGGTAAAGGAAAACATCGTGAGGAAACCTGCATGAGTAAGAAAACCTAGCAAGTTTTCAAAAGACATGTGAAGTCCGCCAACCCGCAGTTGGCCAGCGTGGTGGACTATAGCCTGATTCTCCTCGTACTGAAGGGAGGCCCGTGCCCAGCAGTGGGACGTTAAAAAGGGCTGTATACGATATGATGGATGTATAATGCTGGTATTTTTTGTGGTGCTGGTCTATTATCATCGGCTTAGACTGAACGTTGATATGTCAGTCAGTAACTGTTGACGTCGTGACTGTCTTTAATATATAGTGAATATAGTTATTACGAGTGTACCTTAGGCGATAGACATATAGCATTGAGGACTTTTCTATAGGCCTTTTTAAGACCTATTATTTTATTTGGTGTATCTCTTAAGGTTAAGTCAGCGTTAGTTATATAAAGTAAGGACGGCTCGATAGAACCAGTTTTTGTGTTATCCCGTGGGAAAGAAAGATTTTTCTGTAGTAAAATGTATCCTAAATGTTGACCCAATGAATAAGTTATCACTTCAAAAAAAACGGTTTATTACTTTTTACGTGAAACGAGCACACACAAACAGACAATATTGTGTACACACGTTACAGTCGTTGTTATTAAAAATATTTCATGTACAGATTTCGCTAACCCACTGTTTTATTATATGTACCTACAGATAATTAATTCATACTAACATATTTTATAGATGCAAATGCAATGCTCTATCGATTTTCAAGGCTAAGCGATTAAATCGATTTTGATAAAATTGTATAGAAATTCCCAAATAAAAGGCAGTTTATTTTTATAGTCCATCTTTATATTTATCTGAAGTATTAGTTTGAACGAATTACTGTTTAAGTTAAATAATACAATGAAGTATACAATTTATTTGACCTAATATGACCTCCGAACGGCCATCTATATTTGTCATATTTGCAATACTAATATAACACTTCCAAAAAGAACACAGCGCAAAATATTTTAACATTATTCTCATTCTATTTTAAATACATACATACATACATACATACATACATACATACATACATACATACATACATACATACATACATACATACATACATACACACATACATACATACATACACACACATACATACATACACACACACACACACACACACTCACAAACACATACATACATTCTATTACTACTATAGCGAGGCACTTAAGACATCAGCATTTGAATATTTAATAGTACAATACACAATCATTATATAATCTAACAGAACACAAGCGATGCATTTCTCTCTAATTTGTGATTCACTAACATATCTCTAATACAGTTTGAACAGGATCTCCATCAAAACAGATTACGTCGTTTCACGTTAATGTTCCTATGACATTGTTCAACCGCAGATTCATTGCTGAAATGTACGTCTTATCTATTATTATAATTTTCAGTATATAATCATATATTAATTGAAGTATCTACTTGGAATATGGTTTAGTAATAGATCAGTAATATGCTTTGGCTTAATCGTTCCTTTGTGTTGGCGTTGGCTACTTCGTGTCAGACACTCATGTAGGTATGTACATTGTATATACTACATCCTTAGTAAGGATACTGATATTAGAATAAAATGTATATAGGGTCATTTTTAATTTACTGAAAACCTTTTGGGAATATACTATTTACATCATAACAACAACATCTGTAAGAAAAGAAAATATTTGTTAAATTTTACAAAAATAAAAATATTTTTATATACACCTTCTAAACGGCAATAGTCCAGCATAAGCAAAAGAAAGCGCGTGTATATATGATATGTATGTATGTATGTGGATGGATGGAATTTATGTATGTATGTATATATGATTTGGTCCAGATATGTAAATAATATATTCTATTCAGTCCTTTTTAAGCATCCCACAGCTGAGCATTGGTTTCCTCTTAATGAGATAGGGATCAGGCTATAGTCCACCGCGCTAGCAAAGTGCGGATTTCACATGTCTTTCGAAAACTTGCGAATTTCTTCCAGACGTGCAGGTTTCCTCACGATGTTTTCTTTCAACCTACTAACAAGTGGTAATCATGTTACAAATAATTCGCACATGAGAATATTAAAACCGGTATCAAAATTAACTCCACCCTTGTTTTAGGGTTAAAAAAGAAATTTATGCTAAGGTGTACAATGCCAAAAGAAAACCAAGGTATCGTAAAGATATAGCTACGTATGTACGTAGGTATGTATGTACGTACTTTGATAACATAGTCATAATAGTAATATGGTTTAGCCGACATATAATTGGTATGAAGACAAAAAATCCTTATCTAAGCACTGTATTATAGCCACGTGTGTATTTACACTACTATTATAAAGAGGAAAGGTTTGTATGTTTGTAACGAAAAAAACTCAAAAACTATTGGACAGATCTAGATAAAATTCGAAAAGAAGATAGTTTGAAACCCTGAAAAGGATGTAGGATTCTTTTAATCTGGAAATTATCCCTTAAGGGGGTGAAAATGGGGATGTGGATTATATAGGGAATCAACCTACTAACACAGATCTAAAGATTTTCTTGCGATTTATAATTTTAGAGATGTATAAAAAATACTTACTTTTTCAGGAAACCATGGAGTAACGAAGGGTACTTGAAAGGTGTTCGTATAAGAGTGTAGGGTGTCGAAGGAGTCCGGTGTGACAGCGCCCAGCATGGAAACTACGCCGCGAGAGAATTGGTTGCAAACTGGAACAAGGAACAAAGTTTATACATTTCAATAATAAATATCTTAATGAAAGAGACTGGAACAAGTATTTATGGAAGCTAGCATAAACCAATCGGTGCCATTTTAATTTTTTTATTGTAAGTGCCACGCAAAACTGGTGCAATATACATTATGGTATAGTTAATGGTAAACAATATAAAATATCACCCATATCTTATTTTACGATGTCATGTTACCGAGATATTTTAATTGAAAATATACCTGAGATACATGGAAATAAATATACATATAAGTAATCAGTTTATTTTTATTTTTTAATATAATATGTACTTTTTATCTATATATACCAATTTAATTGTGCGCCGCAGGCTTAGAAGAAAATAGGTTCAATGATTTTTAATCCATACTTAAATATATATAATAAATGTATAATAACATTATACAAAGTAAAATCTAGGTGGAATTGTGGCGATAACGCATTCCGTCGCTGAATCGGAATGTTGCTTCTTTGGGCGAAATTGTATGACCGAGCGTTATCGTGACCAATGGAAATTATAATTGTTATCTACAATAATACAAATTATTATTCCTTTAGCTTCTCATATTTTTATTTAATTTCTACTATACAGAAAGATTGTAGTGATTTTCAAATGGTTAATATACAAGATTTCATTTAGATTTAATCATACAAAAATATTACACCATTATTCTTAATTTTTTATTGAGAAAATACAAGTAAAAGTAATAAAATTGTAATGCAAATACAGCTAATAAGTTAATTTTCATTAAAATCACATGTGCATTATGTGACAGAAGAACGAAAGTATGAAAACAAAGTATGAAAACAAAAGTATGAAAAAGAATTCGTGATCGATCATGAAAAAATGGCTCTTAAAACACTATGCCATCCCCATCACTAATCTGAATTTTTTTAGCAACCATTTCGAAAAATTAGGATATTTTTTTCAAGTATGACTACCTATGACCTGGGCTACCAAGCTTTGCTCGGCGTTTTTTCGGGAAAAATATAAATATTTTTTTTGACAGAAAATTCAAAATTTTATTCAGCTTTAAATTATTACAATTTTTTACTGAACGTCACGAGTCTATTACCAGTTCGGAAAGAAGAAGCCTCAGACCTGAGAAGAACTGGCGAAAGAAACTCAGCGGGACTAATATTATTTCATTATCTTTTTTTATAAATTCAATACACTTATCTATATCAACTTACAAAGCAAAAACCTAATCTATAAAATTTGATCCAAATCGTAGAGCGGTTTTCCAGACACAAAATATTCTTATATATGTATTTACAAGAATAGCTCATTTAATATTATAGGATAATTCGATTAACTAACGAACAGGATCAACTAAGTCAAGAGACATAAAAATAACAAGACGGAAGTTCTGCGACTTTGCAACCCGTGGATAAATCATTGGAAAGCGTAAACGAGATCTCTTTAAGTTGTTATTGCTGTTTGGAAGTAATTTGCTTTTTATATTGAAGCAAGTGAAGAGTCTTACTAGGCGATTGAATGGTATTTATTGTCTTAGATTTTTCCGATTTGTATTTCTTCGTACGTATCTACGAGTATTATGTTAGAAAAGTACGTTAAAATAAATTAAAAATGGCCAAAACCTATTTCACTTAATGTGGTGGTATGAACTCTTACTAATATTATAAATATGAAAGTTTAGATGGATGTTTGGATGTTTGTAACTCAATCACGCCAGAACGGCTAAACGGATCTGGATAAAATTTGGCACAGAGATAGGTTATAGTCTGGAATAGCACTATGCGCATACTTTTTATCCTGGAAAAATGTACGGTTCCCGTGGAATGGATTTGTTTTATAAATAAATAGAGATCTTAGATTCTTTATAAAATAGAATAATAATTTGTAACTTAGATAATAAATAAAAACCTAGGGTAAGTTTCGCTCGCACTTTACATTTACACTACAATTTCACCAAGTTTGATAATAACGATATCTGATAAAAATTTTAGGGTAGTGCATGAACAATTAGTACAAAGTAAAGTCCAGAAGTTAGATCGGTCAAATAAGCTTATTGTATGATGTGGTAACTGTTTATGATCCCCCTTTATATGTGTGTTTATCTTGTTGTGAATGGGCTTATAAGCGTCCGGCAATCCAGCCGGGCGTGAAGCCTAGTGATACAATGGGAGGCGGACCGTCCCGGTGGGCAGGTGTACCATGTGAGTTGTCCTGGTACTTCTCTGATACCAGAGTGGACTATGAAAGCAACCCCATGGTTTTTGTGGTGTGCATCGGTAGGCCTGCCGTAGAGGCGTCATGGATGAGTGCGTAAACAATTCTGCGACTTCCCATTAAGACGGGAGAGTTACCTTTGGATTTTAATGGGTAGAACTGGCTTTTCTAGCAGATGAGTCCCACATAATCACCTGTTTGCATTTTCCAACGTTAAAAAAAAGCTGCCATAAAAAAAATTATAAGCCAGACAGCGAAATATAAAAAAAAAATAATTAAATCGATGATATTTTAACTGTTGTTATATATAGATGCTACAAAAGATTGTAAAATGATAATGCTATCGTTGGCATTGAGAATATTACAGAGTAGACAAGTGACATGAAATCTGTAAGTGAATAACGTTCAATCGGAAAAATTGAATTTAGGAGCTTGATTGTGCGTGGTTGTTCAATTTTCAACTGACTTCCAAAAAGGAGGAAGTTCTCAATTCGACCGTATTTTTTTATTTAATAAAGTGGTGATATTATGCATTCTGCTAGTATCTAGGCTCATTGATATCCAACGATGGCAGTTGTACAGGTGAAATCTGCCGGCGAGCTGTAATGGCCAAAAAGGCGATGGCAACACTCGACAAAATATGGAAGAATCTTGGTATAAAACGCATGATAAAAGTGCGGCTGGTAAGAGCCCTAGTCTTTTCCATATTTTTGTATGGTGCTGAAACTTGGTGCATCAAGAGCCACGATATCAAGAAAATTGATGCGTTTGAAATGTGGTGCTGGCGTAGGCTGTTGCGCGTACCGTGGACCGCTAAAAGAACGAATATATCTATTCTTGCCGAACTTAAGATCACGGAGCGGCTCTCCACTGTCTGTCAAAAAAGAGCCCTAAGTTTTTTTGGACATATTATGCGATCATCCAAGCATAGTCTAGAGAAACTTATAATCTTAGGCCAAATTGAAGGTAAACGCGCAAGAGGAAGGGCACCTATAAGGTGGTCGGACGCGATAAAGAAGGCAGTGGGCGCTACTCTCCATACCGCAGTCCAGGCATCGTTGAACCGAACTGACTGGAAAAAAATCATAAGTGGTCACGATCCTCATCAGTGAGGGAACGAGGAAGAAGCTAGTATGTTAGTGATGTTAGTGGCATTGTACTCTCTACCTTCATAGCATTGTACTCTTATATATGTACTGGCCTTGCCTGCGGCTCCGCCCGCGTTCAGATGACCAAAAAGCATATTCTTAGGTTTTACATATTAGTATACTGTTACAATGCAGTTTTTGCATATTTTTTTTCAGAAATGAGATATTTTCCCGCGGTAAAAAGTACCCTATATGTTGACCCGGATAACCAGCTATCATCATACCAAATTTCATCAAAATCTGTCCAGTAGGTTTCTCGTGATGCGGTAACAGACAGGCAGACAGACAGACAGACAGACAGACAGACAAAATTTCTAACAACTATAGATTTGGACTCTGTTTTTTACTGCATGTATAATTGCTTTAAAAGTTAAATTTTCAGTGTACTTTTGCTATGCGTCGATATATTACCAATGAAACTCTGATTGCTGAAATATATATTATTTTAAAATACGCAAAAAGAACTTTTGTATATATTATAATATGTCTGTGGAGTTAAATGTAAAATGAGCGACCAAAAATAAGCAAAATATTTTAAAGTTGACATATTACAAACAAACAAAAAAGTGGGTGCGTGTAATCTTTACGCGCGGTTGAGATAAAACTAGTTCTGCTAGTAATATTATAAATGTGAAAGTGTGTTTGTTTGTTTGTTTGTCTTTCCTTCACGTCCAAACGGAGTGACGGATTCGCGTGATTTTTTGTGTGGAGATAGTTGGAGGGGTGGAGAGTGACATAGGATTCAGGCGCGGGAGATTATCTCATTCCCACGGGTAAAACCTTATAAGAAACCATAAAATATTTATGGTCAGAATAACTTGACGCTTAGTATTAATGCTCTTCTATACAATTAAATAAACACGTGTTTTAGCATTTTGCGAAATTCATCCTATAAGGGGGTAAAATAGGGGATGAAAGTTTGTGTGATCCCGAACTTTTTAGAGATTTTTTGTAGTTTAGCGTAATACTATACATTTATCAGACAATAACAACGGTTACCATGGCAACAGTTAGTCATGATAGCTTTTATTTAATTTATGCACATTCATCTCACAGTAACAAGTATTCATTTTTATAAGTATCTTATAAGTCTGACGTTGATGTCTGTCTGTCTATCTGTCTGTCTGTGTGTGTGAGTGTCTGTCTGTGGCATCGTAGCTCTCAAACGGATGGACCAATTACGATGCGGTATTTTTTTCATTTGAAAGCCAGTTTCCTTGCGGTGGTTCTTAGCTATGTTTAGTTATTATCGGTCCAGCAGTGTAAGAGTATCAGCTCTTTTCAAAAATAATGTAAGGCATTTTGGCGTATGATTACTAGATTAAGTGCTTCACGCGTTTTTTAAATTTTTAATTCATAATTATTTTTTATGACCTACTTTTTAAAATAATATTAAAAGACCAAAGAAACTCACCCTTACAATAGTTTATAACTTAATCAACACTGCCCATATTACGAGAGCCTCATACTGCCTGCCCTAATTGACCTGATTCTTGTGCGGTTGATATACATAATACAAAACAGAATGTAGATTATAATTATTTACATATGAATTTTGGTTAATTCAGTGAATTGATATAGAATTTTTTAAAGGGGTCCTTTATTTATAAGATACTAGCATTGCCCGCGGCTCCGCCCGCG